CCGATCACATTCGATTAGCACTAAAACGTTCCTTGCCGTCAGCCTCTTCTGGTCTCTCAGGGCCAGGTGCTATGCAACGACTTGGACTCTCTAACCCCCTCCCATCTTGCGTCTATGTACAAAATATTCTTCTCCTCTTCTGAGAACAAAAGGGCGGCTCATTGGACATGCCCATCATTTCTAAAATATTGGCTCAAGATACAGCATAAGTAAAAGCATTAATGATAATCTGTTCGACTGATTGACCCGTTTTTGGAGTGCGCCGTGCATTTACCTTTCAGTTGGAATCGCAGTGGCGTATTGAGTGCATGTGTGATCCTTACAGTGGCTTGCGGTAGTCCGTAAATGTACAATTAGAAAGAAAGAACATTCATATTTGTATAGAAAGATGATGGAACCTTATTTACTGTTTGCTTCGCCTCTTATCACTCATACGACTCATTTGTGAGTGTCCTCTATTCTGGTACCAGTTCACCAACGGCATCTTTCATAGTCCACGACCGGTCGCGCGACCGGTCGCGCGACTGGTCGCGCACCCATCTCACGAGCGACCGGTCGTGGACTATGAAAGATGCCAACCCAAGTGTAATAGAGGTTTCGTTGACTAAGAGAGAATCGACCCGTGACTTCATCTTCGAACCATACGTGTTTGATAGCAACTGGCACTTGCCACTACACTACCTCCACCCTTCAGTAAGCAGATTAAAAAAACGAAAGCAGCCACCACAGCATTTTTTAAAAACCGTGGTTTATTTTTTGCCCAACTGATGGTCTTTCTCATAAAGTTTAATCTGTCAATTCCTTAAGACATCGGTTTTATTATATGATGCTATTTCGATGGCACACTGTAGCCAAGAAGCAGGGATCTGCAAGTTTGTCTAGAGTGAAGACTAGCCTAAAAGTTTAAAAACCAATGCAGTTTGAAAAAAGTATATCCAAAGTCGGAACAGTAAGCAATTCTTTTGAAAAACAGTTTGTTAGTTTTTTCGTAATTACATATCAAACACGGCCGTGTAGGTTGTAAACGATGCATTGGATTGCAATAGTGACAGACCATAACACTGGATGCAGAAATTGGGAACATCTGCACAGTGGAAAAGAGATTGTACTTCGACAAAAGAACATACGGTGGTGAATGCTACGGCTGATGGGTTAGCAGGGACGTAGTAGAAATTGAAGTGAATGGGTTCAGTACCGGTCCCGACTGCTGAACCTTCAATTGGATTCGTCGGTGGTGTAATTATGCAGGGAGTTGACGTATAAAAAATTGTATAAAAAATGGTAGGGCGGATAAATTTGTTGCATGTAGCATATTACCAGGATGATGAATTGCCCTTGCCTTTGACAGAAAATTTCAGTACATCTGTGGCATATACTATCGTGAGGTAAGCCGATGTACGCGTCGAAGCTTTCATCCTATTAGACTAGTATGGTAATACCAATTGGCAAACCCCGTGACGTGTGAAATGGATTTCGCGTTTCCCTTTACTGTCTGTTATATATATGATTCCGATAGAAAAAGCAAAAATTGAAGGCAAATCAAAAAAGCTTTTTGCTTATTACGGTATTCTACACTAACTCCAATGAGTAGTAAGGCATATTACAATAGAATTACAGTGAGGGAAAAATATCACTGGAAAGCGGAGTGGTAAGTTATGCTATGTTTTTTTTTNTTCTCCGTTTTTCAAAGTCTCTAATACAAAGTATCTAATAAGCCATGCACAGGAATGGGTTTGGAGGCTGCATAATTTGCAGCAGTTTTTCGTAAAATGTGAACGATAAGTTTCTGGAAAGTTTGGGACATAGCTCATAAATTAGCTTACCGTTAATTACCTCTCCGATATTCAGAAATGAGTAATGAGGCAGTTCTCTCTTGCAAATTTAAAATTAAGTTAACAATTTCAAAAATTTATGACAGCCTCGACATTAGAGGCAATTCAAATTGCCTGGCTCCCAGCTACCTGTTTCACTCCAAGAATGTGGTTAATGATTATAAAGAAATGCTATAAAGGCCAGATACATCATTTTGGCAGTTTAGGGAGTGTCATACAACGCGATGGCAGAAGGAGTTTTATTTACATATTTATTTATTTCCTTTCTTTTTTGATACTCTATGTAAGACAGTGTGAGAAAAAGAGGATAAATTAAGAAGAGGGGAAACCGGAACAACAGAATTCCTAAACAAAACATCGAGACCAAAACACTACATACCAATGTGGGTGGTACTTATTCTGCTGCAAACCCCTTGGAGGCAGCACAAGAGCTTAGGAAGATTAATGTAGATTTAGCGATACGCAAATAGGGCAGCTCAGCTCAAATGGTTAACATCCCTTCCGATGATTTGAAAGATAAATTTTTTGGGCATAATCAATCCCGTTTAAATGATGCGCCCATTCATTCGACTTTCATTCAGAATGGTCCCGGTGGGTAACGGAACTTCTCCCCGATTGCGGCATTCTCCCTTGCGGCTGCGGCAAATGTCACTGCAATTACCGTACTGACCCCGCCTCCCNAGATGACTCCTCCTATGTAAGCAGCGATCAAGACTGCATTGAAATTGAAGGAAGCGGTCAGCCAATTCAAATAATTAAAGGGCTCCCTACCTCACAAATTGCGCGCTCCAATCTTCCATCGCAATCCTGCGATACGCGGCGGGTGCGGCGTGTGCGACGCCGTGTCAAGGGAGAAGTTCCCGGACCCAATCTAGAAAGGTTGGTAATGGCTTTATAACTAGCAAATCTGTACAACATGCCCAAATCAAAAAGCCACCCCTTGAATGCGAAGAAGGATGTAACCAGTTTGGGCTAATCAAATCATACTTCCCATTACCGTTCAAGAAAGTAGAAAGAAGTGCCATTCTTGACCTTCCGGATCTTATTCTATCAGTATTAAAAAATGATTGCTCAGCAAAAGGACTATGCTCTAAGAGTATTTCGCTCATTCTTGTTCGAACAGAACAGTAAATCTAAAAAATTCGGTTCCAAAATATAAATCTAAACAAATAAACAAACAAAATTCCACCGAACTGATTATAGGAGCTCTTTGGAGAGTTCTTACGAAACTATAGATTCGGAAAGACTCATGGTGTCATAAAACAAGTCGAAAAAGCCGACGGGTAATTTGATATGCCGCCAGCAGAACGACTCCCTGGCAACGGCGGTTTCACAACAAAGTTCAGTGCCATTATAACGACTCATTCCATTAGTCATGTTCTCCGACGTCGTTAGTATTCACACGCCATCGTCGACTGAACCGACGATCTCCAACCCTTTTCGCTCTCAGTATGAGACGACTTGCCAACTTAAAGACGCCTCAAGTGAGACGTCAATCGGGACCTCTGCAAGATGTTGCCCGAATTTCTCCGCGAACAACAGCAAAGGCGAGACGCCTGGAGATGTTCAGTTGAATCGGTTTTGAGTAATCGATCCGCCGCACATGCAGTCGCGGGCCAGTTGGATCATTATTGCAGTTCTAGCATTCTTCATACAATTCATTCGATATGCGATTAATATTTTTGACATAATTCTAGCGTTACTTCTCTTGTTCTTGTGTTTCTTACTCGCTGCGATACTTCTGCTCCACTCTGCTACACTCATTCGCGCGCGACGTCGTCTCGCCGCGAGGCGCGAAATTGTGCGGTGTGACGACGTCGCATAAAGCTTTGATTCAACCTAAAAAATTATCCAAGCTAATGTGTTCAAAAATCAAAAAGTTGGCACGAGAAATAAGGCAGTTTGGCATCCTATTTTGCAAAAACGATCACAGTTTTACCTTCGTGGCAGTTTTTACTTTTACATAGCCCNCCCTGAACAAGCGGTCTACCCAGGTCCGACTGAATCAGAATAGGAAAATCTTAATTTCACTGATAAGAGGTGACAGCTAGCTCTTGTTGTTCATTTATTTTAGTTTCACTTAAACGAGAATTATTACACCTTCATAGCCCTAACCTAACTCCATGGTAAAGAATAATGGTGTCCCATTCCATTTGAAATCCGCAATTTCAAACTTCGTCAACAACCAAAGGCTGTAAACCGTCAGACGCTCAACGCATTGTTGTAGGTTTAATCGACAGAGGGAGGCTCCGTAACTTAATTGCTATGAGTGAATTTCGCATGACGGAAACAAACTGAAGGTCAACGAGACGGTGGTTTTCGAACGACAGATAGTAATTAGTGGCCGTCTCTGAAACTTTTTCTTACAATAATCGATTTCTGTAAATTCAACAGCAGGAACATCTTCCTCTGATACTTCTTGCTTTTGAAACTCGTTTGCGTTACCTGAGTAACTTTCGCGAAGCCTTTTCCTCGCTGTCCAAAAAGTTCCAGGAGTAAGAGAGTCAATAAAAGATTCAGCTACAGGCTTGGCGCCGATCGCCAGAAGCTGCTGCCAGGAAGCCAGGCGACACTCTCTACAAGTATAAACTTCTCCAACCCAACACCCTCATTAGCACGCCACAGCCTTTGCATACTGCATCCTAAATAAAACGCTCAACTCCTCAACAGTTAAAGCTCTCCTGGTACACCTGGAAATCAAAATACAGATATTGACTTTAATATCAATCGCAATAAGCACATAAAATGAACTGCCTAGGTTGATAAGTGAGCATTCCAAAGCAAATGTACTGTCACAGTTACCATGGACTCCAACCGGATATCGAAATGAGGTTAACGTTAGATGTACAAAAGAATTTCGTACAATATATCAAAGTGATAAGATCAAGATCATATATGAATGAGTTGGGAATGCTGTCAAAAACGAGATATCGATGGTGAGAACGCGTACCGTGAGAATATGCGCTATGAAAAAAAAGAAATATTAGAATATACTAAATTGGAAGCACATTAATTTAGTGACTTTCCATAGGATTTCATGTATAAAAATTATGTGAGGCAAAATGACTAGACACTGAAATATGATATGTAACGTCTATGTCGCGCCAGATCCGAGAAAGGAAGCCTCAAATTTGCACAAAGCTATTTCTTCAAAGCAGAGCTACCATTTCACCAGCTATCCTTGAATCGAGGTAAACGATCAAGGAAAGCATGGGCAGCCGCGGTCATATCTCGTTGGCTGCGGGTTCCTCCGGTCACCAGTCGCATCCACCGGCGAGAGTACTGAACATTCATTTTGCAATTGACAAGAAATGAACTGCTAGAATGAGCCATTTTAAATATATTTTCTAAAATATCGTTAAGAACGGGCAATAATGGAACCGCCCAGTTTTATTATTTCACCGATTTTTGCAAAAAGAAGGGGCATAAACAAAAACAAAAACAAAAAACTGTACACTTGTATCGTATTTCTGATTGATAAAAGTGGTAAAGATGGTCGTGAAGGATATCAGTAAGCGCAAAACGTAAATTCAAACAAAACCAAAACAGAAAAAATAGAAAACTTGTCAAATTGAAAACGTTAAAGAGCAAAGAGTCACGATGCCAATCACCAATGAGGAACTAAAGTTTTCCACAGTCGATTGTTATTAAAACGCCTGAAATTGAGACGGTTTCTAGGGTTCACATAACATACCGGCTTCAATGGCTTTTTTGGCACCTCGAAACAATCGGAGAGTGAAGATTCTCGTTTCCGCTTGACTGTTTCTTTAATTTCATTCACCTGAAACATTATATCTCAATGCTCGAACTATAATCAAGACGAACCTTCCATCATTTGAAAGCAAACAAGTCAGGTGTTTGAGGACGATAAGCACCGGAAGCGAGTATGATAAAGGGAACAAATAAGAGGTCACATTCTTTACAGTGTGATCAAGAGCTGACAGTCCAGCAGCATTCAATTCAATGGGTATTCGTTCTTGCCAACAAATGATAAATAAGCAAAGAGTCTGTAGCAGGCTATATGATACTCACTTGGGGTTTTGCACAGTGTTGTACATGAATTGGTTCCACAGCAGTTGACGGAGCAGGTGGAGGAAGAATGATGTTATCCGTCTAAAAATTATGATGTAGAATAGAAGAATATTATTCGTCCCAAAAAGGGTACATTATAAAATAAAGAGAAAGTCCAGACGGATCCATGAAACTACAACATTTACTGCCGTAGGTTCATACGTGTGCATAGAGCATTCAATTCCAAATAATTCAAAGTGAATTGAACGAAGACATTATTCGGTAACATACCAAAAGCTTCCTGGGTTGAAGTATCCCTTGACGTTGTACATCCCGCATTGCACGTTTGAAAGACGACGGGGTTGGCGGTGAATTCTTCGTCACTAGAATTGGCGAACCGGGTTTGACTGGTGCCATGCTGAAATTGTTATTCATTAAAATACCAAAGTACTACATAGTGTCGTTCAGGACTCGAAAACCTATCGATAGGCGCTCAACTTGCCTTTAGAGCTTTGTAACACGAGTACGGGGCATTGCTTTGAAGAACATACAAAATTTCTCGAGAAAGTGTAAGGTCTTGAAAGATTTTTCCAGCAAGATAAAATCTTAGTGCAGCAACACCTTCGCATACTAAAACAGAAGGCATGTTAAAAATCCACCCCATCTACCACGCATTCCCATAAATTACAAAGGAGATTGCACATGGACTCATTTGTAATATTGTAATGCACATGCACAATTCATTCAAACAATAATCAACCGACGCCGAAAAGACCTCCTCAAGATAGAGCTGGCCACTAGCGGTGGAAAGAAGCGCTGATTTCAACTTCGTTATGGAAATTAAGCTTATTGAGAAAGAAAGCAGGGCTTTCAAACTGAATCAAAGCATAGGAAACTAAGTATCTGAGAGTAGTAGGAAAAAAAACTCATTGCACGACGACACTACTAACCCCACATCTGCATATGGATTATGCACAGGAGGAATCGATGGGCCGGAACTGAGGAAAGGTTCTGGAGAATGTGGAAGCGGTGTAGAAGTTGCCTGGAGATTGACATCGATTCCAAACAGCCCAGAGTCGTCTGCCTGAAATTAAAAAGATGCAGTTAAAAATGCTATCCGGAAAAATCAGCTTTTGTCATCACAACTCGGCGAGTTTCTCGTAAAACGATTCAACCAACCATAAATATAATATCACAACAGGTCATCAAGCTCTCCTTATTTATTAGATGTGAAAACACTTATATGAGGTGCGAAAGGTACGAGTATGCCAGGGCAGACCCCTTTGGACACATTATTATAATGAACCAGAAAACCATCTATGAGAATAGATACTGAACACTGTTTTATGTCGAGAAAAAGCATTTGAAGCTATGCTTTTTACATTTGGAATACTAATGCAGTTAACAGCTTGTAGAAGTTCGAGAATTTCATTAACAACAGAATCTTTTACTCGTCTACTATTCTAACATAATAAATCGTGATAGAGAGATTTTACACTGAACTACGCTAAACTATCCTACTATAGCAGATTTTATCATGTGGTTTGGAGGTTCGATGGAATCGCAAGTAGCTCAACCCTATGTATGATATGGGTCTCTACGGATCAAACATGCCCTTCCATAAAAGGCAGCAGTTTAGTACCAGAATTCCTTACGAGAACGGGAAAAAGGAGTGTCGTAAGTAGATTGCCTCATTCAAGCTCTACTAAGTTTTCAGAAGGAAATTAAATATGTGGCGCAAAGTAATATAATCATAATCACATAGTACACCACATACCATGCTGCTTTCAATTTCTTGTGGATCAAATATATCTCCCATAAACATAGGCAAGGTTTTGTCAGGACTACAGTCATCACTGGTCGAAGGCATTTGCAAGCACCTAAACACACTCATTCACGATCACAAGAAAAAAAAACCTGCTGAAACGACCAACGAAGGCCACAAACTCCCTCTTACCTGTTGACTGGTGTGTTTAACACTGGGAAATCATGTGTGCCTGCCATTTCATATATCCGCCGCGGTTTTTCAATAGAACCACCACGGATACGGAATCCTGCAAAGATTTATCAGGAATTCTTGACAATTGAGGAAGGATGACAAGTGATGCAAATCAGACCAATAATGACAACAAAATCTACTTGTCTTACCAACTACATTTTCGGAATTAGAAAGCCTTAGCGCTCGATCGCTAAAAGTTGGCGAGGCGAAAGATAGTCGAAACGATCTGAGAGATAGGCGTTAAACAAAAAGTAGCACTGAGAGCGATTGCTCAAGATATCATGTAATATCAGTCACCTAAAAGGCGAGGGAGTGGCGCTCAGATGAATCCCTGGTCGCGAAGTCGGAGTCCTCAACCCGGGAGACATTCTATATTGATCTACCTACAACAGAAATACGTTTGTATTAGTAACCAAAAACTCAAAATAACTTCCATTGAGAATATAATGAAGACTGTTGATTACGGAGAAAGAGGATTGGGGAAGCATCACACTTTAACAAAGTACAGGATGTTATCATGCCAGGAACAAAAACAACACTGCTTCATCAGTTGATAACAAGTCACCCTTTGCAGAAAGGAATAAAAAATAAGAGACCGGGAAGCTTTAAAGAATTTTGCAGCATACCCAACAAGTACTGCAGTACGTTTTTCAATGTTTAAAGTTTGTTGAAATCAATCTACCTCAATTTATTTGCATTAAAGTCGCTTGAACTTTACCACGATGTATCTTTAAGGGCATCTAATCAACCTGTATTCTTCCTCCATATCCGTTGTTGCCCACATGGGGCTCTATCAGTCCTTAAGATGTTTCCTTCTTTTGCGTCTACCAAAGCTAAAGCCCCTAATCTTCAGGATAGAAGTGATATTCTGGGGAACCCTAGGAGAATTCGCGCGAGTTGTAAAGCGGGAAAGGAAAAAGCAGCAAAGCTCAGTCGTTAATCCATGCGAAGCAGCGGACAAAATACCAAACCTTCAGAATTTATCAAATAGTCGTCAACGCAAGTGACAAAAATCCCAAATCTTCTGAAGCTACCTGCAAGTTAAATGACGTGGTAAAGAATCAGGATCACAGCATGGCAAAGCGAAGCCGAAAATAATGTAGGTGGTAGGATGTGACATCTAAATTTTACATCAAAAATGAGAAGTAGCTAGCTAGATTGGGTTTTCAGTCATTAAGTCATTGCCATTTCATAAGCTTGAATCAAATAGCTCCGTAAAATGCCTGCCTATATGACCTAGTTACCCCTTTCGTTTATGTTGTCACAAGTGAAAACTGAAGAGCATGCGCTCTTTTCGACGAAGCTTATGAGAAGGTATTGAGCACGGCGCAAACCATCCCTGTTGGTCTGCGTTTTTTATTTTAGTACAAAACAAATATTGATTTGCTAAAAAATATCACGCTAAATATACTTCCCTCAAACGGCTGAAAAAGGTACTCTAATCAAAAGGCTAAGAAAAAACTTCCGCAAATGTAAGGAAGCTAACTATAGATCGCCATAGATCACAAACGGTACCGGCGTATGAGGGTACAAAACTGGCTGACCCAAATCCTTCAGCTGAAGATAATTCTGATCTAGTAAAATCTTTTAGGTTTGCTGATTGAATAAGGACATTTAGCGATTAATTAAATAAATCAATCAAGTATATTATGCACTTAAAAGGTCACGGAGGAGATTCAGAAGCATATGTATGAACACAATAAAAAAATCTTGAGAATGACATACATCACCAGATGTTTGACAACACACAGAACAGCTGATGACACTTAGCATACAAAAACTAAACACTCACCCTATTGTTGACTATTGGTGGACTGTTGAATGACAAGCTCAGACCAAGACCTGAGTCAGCAGAAGTACCTAATTGTAAGGAGTCTGTCGGTCGTGAATCAATAGGGGTCGTAGCCCTAGGCCATTTCGTGGGCGGACTGTAGTCGATTGATGATTGGGTGGGAACAATATTTGCAGGTGGTGGTGGTAACATTGGCTGGTGCTCCGCTAGCCATGACGGCCCCGCGGGTGCCCACATGAAATGGCTAGCTGGCTTCCTGGTAACTGAAATAACTTAATATCATATACTGACGAAATAACGTAGCGACGAAAACGGCGCACTAATCCAGAAAGTCAAAATCAATAGTAATCATTATCGAACTCATGCCAACCACACGAACAATAATCACAAAGTGGATAGAAAGTACAGCTAGAAAAGCCAAAAGACAATTCGTTCAACTGAAAATGCGGATCAAACACTATAAGGAAAGGATACAAATGGGATAATTTACGATTTTATACAAAAGAGTAGATACAGCTGTGAGATGCAAGAGGGGGCATTGAATCTATGACGCCGATATCCACCGATTGAACAATCAGTTAATTGAATGAAAGCTTCAGAAGCCATATAAAAAGGAAAGCCCAGATAAAATGAAATGATTTCTACGAATTCAAGTAACTGAACGCGCCGAAAGCATTCCTACGACTCCAGATCGTTATCAGACCTGTCAATGGACCGTTAATGAGCATTGTAATGATCTTCAAGTTCTTACAGCACCCACACAAAAAATCTTGCACTAAAATGAAATTAGATCAGATCCTGCGCTCAATCTAAGTTCGAATCACTTTTTGCCCTATTTATTTTTTAAGAAAAATCAACGCCTTGCCAAAAAATTGCCACTTGAGAGTAATTGAAAGCTTGTCAAAGTTGCAGAACCAGAGAACTTAGTGGAATCAAAAATAAATCACTTAAAGAAGGCGAGCTCCTTTAAACCATTGTCGAGCAAATCAATAGGATTCAGTGATGCCTTTAAGGTAGGCATAAGAGAGAAGTAGTCGACACCCATTACCGTCATATGAACGGTTGAAAATATGTTCTAAAGTAACGGCTCATAAATTCGGCAGACTGTTTCAGCTAGCTCAAATTCGGGATTGTTAATCGTTGAAATGATTTAAGTCCGCCCATTTGGCAGAGCATGAGCTCAGAAGACAGTCAGGTACGAAATCTCCAACGAGCTCTAGCCTTAGCACTAACAAGGTCAAGTGCAGGGTTGACGACCGTAGCGGGGAGGGGAAGGGAAAGGTGATTATAGTTGAAAAGTTCTAATGGGGCCGACTGTGAAAGGAAAAAGTATGGTTGAGACAAAGAAGAGACTGGTACTGGATTACTGGTAAATTAGCATATCAACCCTACCGTCCTCCGTTCGCCTTCTCATACATGAATAGGCGCAGAAAGAGAGGAACGGGTATCAAAGGCTATGGAATGACAGCGGTGTATGTCTATAAAAGTTACAGAAGCAGACACCTGCTGTCTACAGCTACTAACAACTGTTTCAGTCAGCTGTCAAAAGGAGTTGGAATGTCACACAGCAGGACAAGTTAGGTGAATGGAAAAGGTCATGCAGCTAATGAGTACACACGCCTTTAATGCCATCTCGCGTTGGTGGTGGTCCAGTGGTCCCTTCGTTGCGGGGTCATGGGTCATAGATGACGGCGGACCGGCAGCCCCGGTCGGTAATCTGCTGACCTTGCCCGGGTGTGCCATCGGTACCGTCACCACATGTACTCGTTCGCAATCGCGCTAAGGTTGCGCGAGCCTCACCCTCTACCACATCAATCGATCGTCGGTCGATTTGCTGCGACGCCCCTTGCCAGAGAACGGGACCCGCTACCGCTGCCACATCCTTTGTTCCATAGCTCTATTCACGCGGGGTACCTTCTTCTACCCAGCTATTAACTAGCTATATGCCGCCCGCAGCGTAAATTTACATATCCCGATGAAATTCTCCACCGAGACAGTCACAAAATTAACGACCTGCCACAATATCAACGCAGTTTTTAGATCTGGAGAGAATATTGCATAGCATTGAGTATAGGAAGAACAAACGATTAAGAATTCGAAAAAAACTCTAAAAAAATTGGTGGGGGAAAGAGGCTACAGGGAACTACAAATCGTTTGACGACGTGACAGGCAAACATGATTTGAGTCCCTTGACGGTAATGATGTTTTCGAAGGAATATAGAAGCTGTGGTCGATGATCTACTGGATCATCCATGATCACAGGCCTTCCATTCGGGACCTCTGAATCCGCTTGGTACCTGTTCTTGACGGGCAGGGAAGACACCCCTGAAGAGGGAACGGAACATTCACCCAGAACCAAATGGACGCGGCAAATGGCGCGGCAAGTTCGTGGCGTTTAGGACGACTTTGGCACTTATCATTGGGGCGCAAACTCGAAGTAGAATACATTAGTATGGTCAGCTGATCCTAACAATCTACTCTACCACAAATTTGGACCCCAATGGTAGGCGCTGAAGACGTCTAAGCCACCACGGATTTCGCCGCGCGATTTGCCTCGTCCATCCAGTTCTGGGTGAATGTACCCATACCCCCCCCCCTGAAGTAGCTGTATTTTCTGAGGCATCTGCAGCTTCCGAAGAGTAGGAATCACCTCAAAGAGAAGATTTATACGACAAATGGAGCACGTCGTTAGTTGGCATTGGCTAAGAATTGGCCACATGAGGGCCAGTCCTGGGTCTGGCGCAATGAATAAAAAATCGTAGAAAAACAGAATGATGGAGATCGATAGGCTAGGTTCTAGGCTGAGAAGTGGAAAAAAACATTAGAGGGAACGTCCTAGCAGTATGGAAAGATGGGTAACCAACATGGACTTAAATAAACAAGATAACGACTCCCTGATAAGGCGTTTGAGCAATGATGAAACCGTGTTAGACAGCTGACTGTGAATTCGGAGTAGAGAGCGGGAGAGGAGGCCGAATCAGTGATGAGTTGGCAGTAGCAGATGCAGTCAAAAATAATGACCACGCAGCTGCTACCAATGCCTCCCTGTGACCGCATGACTGTCACCGCAAAGCATTAGCTATGCGAAATCAGCTCGGGATCGTTGGCATCGTCATGAGCTCATTTATCAAATCAAGGAGAACTTGGACGTAGTTTACTACTGGGGCTATTTTACAGAGTTTATCGTGATCCTCTGTACTCAACGGTAGCTTCCTATCTTACTTCCCATGGCTACAGCAAACTGTCAAATGGTCCAACGTGAAATAAACCGGTTGAAGAACAGACCCGAGTTATCTCGCAATGACAAAGAAAAAGTTTGAGATCTGATGTTGGCATTTGAAAGGAAATAAATCTGAAAATTGCTTATTGTTTTTGAGGTTGTAAAAAGAGGGCCAAGATTACGGTAACGGGCGGAAGGTTGTAAATAAATGATGACTGACGATGGATATGGTTGAAGATTGAAGACTGACGATGGATATGATTGAAGATCAATTATTTCGTCGTGTGGTTGACCCAAATGGGTGATTTCATTTGAGGAAATATGATTAAAAACGTAGCAAGAGAAAAAACAGAAAGTAGAGGAATCGATTCTGTCAGTTTGTGTGTTGGGCGATTCTGCTTAGTCATTCCGTCGTTGTAGCTCAGCCAGTCTTTGTTTCACAACGACCGAGTTTGTTTGCAATCATAAACAACACGTGCGACTGTGTCTCGAACATTGAAATCGGCTCACAGGGACCTCTAACTGATGGTTTCAATCCTACAAATGACTAGGTGTACGTTGAACGTCAGCCTTATAAAGCTTCAAAGCTTCCCACGAGGTTCAAGAAAACAATTCAAAAATTTGGATTTCAAAACCATTGAGAGAGAAACCATTGGTGTAGATGAGAACCAAACTGAGAAATAACCAGGAAAAACGCACTTACTCCAGCAGGCTGAAACGAGAGTAACCGACTAGCCAGTCAACGAGGAGTATGAACTGTATCGTAATATGCACTAGCTGATGAGCTCCTTTCCCAATGAGAGGGGAGAAAAAAAAAGACTGGGCTTACCCACCTAAAATCTCCACAGTACTTGAAGCAAAAAAGATTGTAGTGAAAAGGCTATGAAGCTCATCTGTAGGATGGAGCACAGTAGAAACGTCAAATCAAGGAGCCAGAACATAAAAGGCACATCTCCTCGGAGTAGTGGGTATACTGGAATGGCGGAAAGCCTGTGCCCCTAAATTAGAATTACGTTCTCTCCATATCTCTGTTATCTTATTCGTGGCTTCGATTGAATAATCAAATACCTCTGGGCAATCGCCGTTAAATTCTTTTCCAATAATGAGCTTATAGTTACTTCAAAGTAAGGACTGCATTTTTTCAACCCTAAGAGGCGTTCGACGTTCGCTTGGCAATGACAGTGCACTTACACCTTCATTGCCATTGAGAACGTCTCCTATGTGCGCGAAAAGGACGTCAATGAGACACTGGACGGGGTTATACAGCCAAAAGACGACTCCAAAAAACGACCAATTGTTTAGAAGGCCGTATCACAAGAACACGTCGTAAGCAGTGAAGGAAGCTTAAAAGACCTTAGGAGGGACGCAGTCAGGAAGTACCGTCAACCCTTACTACTTGGCTATGACTATAGTTGATGAAGAACGAAGTTTTCGAAGCAAACATTCAAAGCTAACTTCCGCCAAGGATCATTAGATAATGGAGCCCTGACAGCTTGAATGGAGCCAGGCTGACAGGGCAACATTATCTGCGGGAAACAGACTTCATCCAACACCAACCTGTCCTCCATTCACTCTATTCCTTGCCTATCCCATCTCGAGTTCATCCATTGAATCTGGTAGCCTCTTCTCGCCCGTAATTTAAATTTGTCCGAAAATTAACTGACTTACTATAAAATCAGTTTCAACAAAAAACCGAACCGAATCAGTAAAGGATAATAGCGATCAAAGAGCTAGTCAACAGCTGGACCTGGAACCCTACTTGAATTTTAGTTCAATAAATCTCCTACTAGGCCCACCCTCCACCTCCCCAGCTTGGTACATTTGGTTTTTCCAAAGGCCGATGGATGAAGATGAGCAAAAGTTAGTGGAGAGATAGACATGAACCAAGAAAATGAGGAAGTGATCGAGCTTGGTCCTATGATCTAAACCCCATCAAAACGAAAATTTTGCCTTACTGCGACCACTAAGGCTTCCAGAGCTGCCTTGTCGATCACATCCGTCTATCCTGAAAGTATAGTACACGGCTTCTGTTTTAGAACAACCTACCAAAACAAACATGGATTCCATGAATAGCAAGGAAACAAATGAGCATGAAAAAAGACCCTTCTTGTCACTCTGCCCGATTGGCTACGAAGTTAATATATCTCATGAAAATCACTAAGGTTATACTTTGAACTAAACAATGTTTTGCTTGATAGCTTCGAGGAAGCTCGCAAAGGATTTCAATTCAAGTCGACGTCACTATGCAGGCCTCAGAGGATATAAATAACCGGTTCACGAATCGTATAAACCAATCACCTAACGCAATACAGTCGTTAAAGTCCATGTCCGAGAACTGGTTACAAAACNCCACTTTTTACAAAAACAAAAACCAAAGTTGTAATATATATCTATTTATATTGCACAAGGCATATATCTCAGGCACGTATGCGCATCTAAAAACGAAGTAACAGCATAAGAAAAGAAACTACTCTGCTAGCAACCTACTATGAACATCTATTTTACAAAAAAAAAGAAGAGAGCGAGTACACGCTGGAACAACAGAACATAGCCAATCGCTAATCGAACTACATATTTGAAAGTAAAAACGTGAAGACACCGCATCATAAGATTCACCAAAAGCTCTGAAGCGAGGGCTGAAAACCGGAACCGACAAATAGCAACTGAATAAGGATAAGTGAGGGCTAAATGGAAGAAAACCTGCAACATGTACTCTCCTGTTCAAACAAGCGATAGATCGTTCTGGTAGCATGAACGTGTTACAATTTCCAAACATGCCAATTCATGTAACCACATGTAAAATTATCGATTAATCAATAATCGATTACAACGTTCAACCGCTTTCCATAACGTTCCGTTCAACACATGAAAAGGTAATCAATAATAAATCTGTGCGTACATCTGTAGGTGAAGACCTGCTTCAAAAAGGATACCAGCAAAAGGGACATGGAACAAGTAAGATATGGCAAGTATATCATGTAAAGGAAATGATCTAGGAATAGACATAAACAAACAAACAAACTGCGCATTTATGAATAAAATGCTGACAGAAAACGATGAAATCAGCACACATTTATAACTAGAGACTAGTTTTAGGTTGCCCGTAAACATTTACAGCTCCATCACTTGTAGCGACAGCAATCATACACCTGCAACAGAGCACAATCACAAAAATCAACTGCCTTGCTGAAAAAACATATTTGATTGTTTATTATATTCATGGTGTATCCACAGGACGTTTCACACTGTAATAAAGATCCTACATAGACAAAGCCAGAAAGTGAAGAGGTAAAAAAGTTGAAAAAAAACAAATTTTAAAAATAAACCAAGTTGGAATTAAAAAGAAAAAACAAAACGATCAAATGCAGAACGTGAAGAGAAGCTGGTGGTATAGAAGCGAGGAAAAATCGCTAATTCGAAAAAATAGTTCGAAACTGTGAACATACCTAAGTTTGTGCATGGCAACGGCAGCTATACTCGGAGACCGTCCACGTTCAGAATCGTTCTGACGAATGCTACATAAAGGAACACCGCAGATGTCATACAGTTTGACTTCAGACTTTAATATACAACCGAACATCTGAACAATATATTCAAGAATGACATCTGTAAAGAATTTCTTTCGGAATCACAAAAAAGTTACCTCTGCATTTTTGTGCACAATAAAATTCCTTAGCGGCTCGTGTGTTTCACGACCAGCCTCTATTTCCACTACTGGTACCTGAACATACAATAGTATAGCGTGAACTACGGTAGCAGCTTTTCCCCACTATAGAAGACGTACCAATGTTAAGAAACTGTGCTAAACAACAAAAAGAATTTAGGGAACACTTTCATAGCTAACTGTTTATGTAGAGCAAACATGTCGGGCTAACAAGGAAGTTCCCGGTGTGCGGTGTGACTCTGAATTTTGGCTCTCAACCTTAAATGGACGCGGACCATCCATAGCTTACATCCGTGGATGGTTGCTTATTTGGAGAGAGACTTGATTCTAACTAGACATTTAATTCCGTGTAGGTTGGAGCTACCAAAAAATGTACTGCCCTCCAAGACAATGAAGATAACGGTAGCAACAAAATACTTTCAAGTTTGCGGAAACCCGACGACTTTTTATCTACCAATTGAAATGAATGGTTCAACGAAGATGGATAAAATTTTTCACTTGGAAAATGAGAAGAGAAAAAATAAGAAAACATTATTAGTATGATTAGGCATTGCTGCACATACCTTGAACATTCTGGGCTCCCAAACACAAATTCCTCCACCTTCATCACCAGCGGCAACGATGGCGTTTCCTTTCGAATCAACGCGAATCGCAACACCCACTACACGAGAGGATAAGTCGTGGAATGACATTATCAACGACTCTTTCGCAGGAACACGAATGTCATGCACGTTAACCACCCCATCGCGGTATCCTGTAATTTAGCCCGAGTTCAGTGGGGAAAGCTATGGGAAATACTTCACGAAGCAACGAACCAGCAGCGATGAGGTCATTATGATCCAGTTCACCGGAGAGTGCAGTCACTGCTCCTTTCTTGACAGCTATTGCAATATCATGAGCAGTTCTCTCGTAGTGAGCATCCCAAACACGAATTACCCGTACATTTCCACCACAGACAAGGCGACCAGTTTCTTGACTCCAACTACAAGATAGAAGTTAAGCTGTGACACCACAAAACTTGAGAATGACGGTTCTGTCATAACAAAAATGCTCAAAAATGGCTCAAAAACTATTCCCTTTCTTATAAGAGTGATTTGAGCTGAAAAGAGGCAGCTAACTAATTACAGTGAAGTGTTGCTTTGTAACCGAGGCTGCTTAATGGAAGTTTTGCTTGGAAATACATTTCCACCACAGACAAGGCGACCAGTTTCTTGACTCCAACTACAAGATAGAAGTTGAGCTGTGACACCACAAAACGTGAGAATGACGGTTCTGTCATAACAAAATGCTCAAAAATAACTCAAGAACTATTCCTTTTCTTATAAAGGGATGATTTGAGCTGAAAAGAGATAGCTAACTAACTACAGTGAAATGCTGTTTAGTAACCGAAGCTGCTTAATGGAAGTTTTGCTTGAAAGGGTAATACTCACTCATATAATGTCGGAAGAACGGCATAATTTGAAAGAGGCAGTCTCGACTGATCGCACAATGGATTTGAGGCAGTTACCAACTGTGGCAAATCTTCGATTTCATGTGAATGAATATTATAAGAAAGATCCCATACCTTGAAATGAAAGAGCATCAGCAGATATGTTTAATGAGCCTTAAGAAACAAGAGGAAATCAATAACGTACCCTTACAATACCAGTAGAAGACCCGCAAAGCAACATTTCACGTGACATCTCATTAATAACTATCAATGCAGTTGTTTTGTCCTGCAACAGAATTAGATGCGCGATTTCGCGAAACCTTTAAATACCTTTAACTCCTAAGGGAAATAAACAAATTACCGAATTGAAAGGATTTCCTGCATTGCAGGAGAATTTCTGTGCAATGTGATTGTGTGACTTCTCATAACGGGTAATGTATATTTGTTCACCGTCCGTAGTATAAATAGACTTCCGCAACATAGAAAATGAAACAACAGTTGGAGATGGAGGAACACGAGCAGCGACTAATAAGGAATCGCACGGTACTGACTAAAATGTACAGTGTGCTATTTGAACAACGGGTTAAATTGCAATATGTGCCACGACACTTTAGAGAACACACCTTAAACACCTCAAATTCGGCATGCGCATGTTGTTTTTGCGCTTGCTCGATGAAAATTGCCCAATCTGTCGGATTTACCAGTGTAAGCGCACGATCTGTGAAATCTTCGACGTCTTCTTTGCACTGGAATGCACACAGGATGAAGAAAAGAACAACATAAAATGCTTGTCAACTTACGTGAATTAGATCAAGGATAGGTTGGACGAATATACGACTGCACCATGGGACAAACTCCGAGGTGAGCAAAGCTTCAGCATTAGTCGCCACTGGAGTTCCAGATGAAAACTCTCCACGGGCAGTCTAAAATGTTTCACTTGCACAGCGCTATGTAATGGACGAGGAAACACTCACAGTTCCTCTTTTTGGTGTGAACGACTGCTTCAACATCTCCGCCAGTTGGGATCTTGATTCTGACCCTATACAGCGAAGATCAGAAAATGGAAGATGAGTAAGACAGAAAGTTGAATTTACCACTTCAACACTACAAGCTCACCTCTACCGGCTGGCGGGAAATGTGACGGCATCGACAACTTCCGCTGATTAGGCTGTCTGACTGAACGTTGGACCGTTGCGGCTGTCGGTTTACCGTGAAGACCGTCATGATGGAACATTCCGTTAGGAGAAGTGCAATCAGTATCGGGATTGGAAGACAAACTGTTAGCGTTTGTGCTCCCCTCCGGTGGCAATAATGAAGAGCCAGTAGCAATAGGACTGCCAATCATGAATCGCACACCTCCTAAGCAAAGATATTGATGAAAGTAAGCAAAAACTAAAGCGGGCTTCATTTGACTGACGCAGATGGTTGGTGGTATAGTTCAGATATATATTCTTGAGGTTGTAACTGTCGATGGCCTTTGTTTCTCAGGAAACAACGAAGAAATGTCAAGAAGAGCTGATGAGACTGGTTTGAAAAAGTATCACCTCCTTCATTCTCGCTGCTTCTTCCCAGTTTAGATGAACCATCAGTATCGTGCACTTCATCAGGAGTTTCAGAACGTGGCATAGCTGTATCAACCTTGTGGATCTTAAATAAATAATCACTTGGAAGATTAAAACGATTCAAGAATGTCAGTCGGAACTTACAGACGCAAGGCTTGATACTTTCTCAACCTTCTCAGTGAGAGCTGTTGCGCTACTTTGAAGGCCTACTGCCAATACTTCGATGTGGCGGACCAACTTATGAGCCATCAACGCCACCTGCATGAAAAGCATCAGGCAGTGGATGAAACAAGAATGACCAGGCACTGTTGCGAAGTGCAATCAACATGATTTTGATATCAGGTTGGCAGTAAGGAAAATTCACTGAAACTTACTGAAACTCTGGTGACGACTATGGGCAATTTCTATTTTCCAATGTGAGAACATGAATAAGAATTTCTCCTAGCTTTTAAATGGCCTAATTCTTTTTAAAAAGGAATTTCCATCACGTTTTCGCGGGCGGACAACTTAAAATTTCTAGAAATGAAATCGCTCGAGTGTGAAGAATGAAAAATGGTGAATAGGTCCCCAAAATAGGTGCCAATGCTAAGCCGCTCTTGAACACGAAGCTGCTTCCGCCCAAGAATTTTCATATGATTGAGAAACCGAACCAGAAAATATTGAAGTTTTTTTTTTGAGTTAAGAATTCCCAATGGAAGATGTGCCATTACATACTACCGTTGATGAAAAAACTGTATGCGCATGAGAAAAAAACATCAACATAAGTATGACTATGTGTAAAGGTTGTGATGGAAAGGAAAGGAATGATGATGATGATGTGATGATCTACTCAAACGTGTCGGCGAAAGGCTTTTTGGTAATGGATTTCGTGAATACTCCTAAAATAATGTCCTTCAAAAGAAAAGGATCACCCTAAGTAGTTCACCTCCCTAGTATCTCCAAAACATAGGTGCAAATGGAATATTTAATGTCTAACAAAAGCGAAACGCCTTAAGAAAGACCTTTTGCACGGGATCCAATGACAATCGCAGCAATGCCACCCAAGTTCGTTCCAAAGGTTCCTTGAAATTTTTGTTCTCCAGATAAGCCAATTGCTTTTTCGCTCGTTCCCTGAAGGAGAACAACTCGGTGTCTGTCAGGAGGATGATAGGTCATGCAACTATCAATTAAACTGGGAATATGTCCAGCTTTACCTGAATGCAATATCGTATTTCGATGGACCTGTATACGATGATACTACAGACATTACTTGGCTGATTGACGAAGATAAAGAGTTGCGATCCGAGGGATCATTCATAGTCACAACCTGAAAAAATTAAAACGTTACGAATGAAAGGATAATNTCACACATGAGCAAGTGAAAATAATAAACATCAATGCGACTGCAATACAAACTTCTTCAATTCCTATAGCATCGTTGGGCCTTTGTCGTTTTTTATATATAGACGCCTTCCGTGCTGCTCCCCTAAACAAGGATATCACTGAAGAGCAGCATCGCTGCTTGATATCGTAGAAAAAAAAACAACAATCATTAACACGAACGCGTACATAGACAAATGTCCATTCAAGTCGCTATTTTTGATAGTAGCAGCAATATCGTTTGCGTTGTGCTCGAACTGGTCGTCTTGCATATCAGCAACCATTTCAATGCCTAACGTTTCCGACAGATCCCAGAAAATTTTTGCAAACCGTTGTTCAAAATCGATGATATACCACTGGAAATAGAAGCGTACAGAACTGTCAAATAATATGTTCCATACAAAAAATGTGCTACATTCGAAAAGGTGATTCACCTGCAGTGCAACAAGTAGTTCTTCCCGAACAAGAACAGATCCATCTTTTGTACACTTGTTACATAGGTCGTCGCATATTTCTTGGTCAATCTGAAGGAAGAACTGGTCGATCCAGAATCAAGAAGCGATCAAGCAATAAGAAATTCCGAATTTGTTTACCGTTGCGGCATGTTCATTCGTTTCAGAACGGTTCTTCACAAGACATCCAAGGGCATAAACAGCTGCAGCCCGAACTTCAGGAGCGTTGTCATCGAGCTCTTTCAAAACCTGAAATACTTCCAGATTTGAATGGGAACTATTCGAAACGATTGCATATGATCCCTTCAAGCACTGACCTTCGCGTATGCTACAAGGCGCACAGCTTGCCAACGAGCAGGGTCATAATCTGCCCAGAGACGACCCAATCCAATAAGTATCCATAATTTTAATAGTCGACAGTCTTTTGCCTTATTCTCACTCAGTAGCTCAGTACAAAGATTGACATATCCTTTCTTGGTTAGATTCTCTTGCGCGATCCTACAAAGGTAAATACCAAAAAGCTGGTAAGATAAGCAAACTGATAAATTATAGTACAGGAAAGGCAACGCCTACCTGTAATTGTTATGGAATAGCGTTGCCAGAACAAAAGCAACAACAATTTTTTGTCGTGGTAATGTATCAGGATCATTAAGGATTGTGACGAAAAAGTGGTAACTGAAAATAGTTATGAAAGAAGGTAATTGCTGCGTTACACCACAATAAATCACAAAGTTCCTATTTCGGCTGACGTTCGATTCCTTGTAAAATAGAGGGTTACAAGCTACGTTTTTTTTNTTTTTTTTCGTGAAAACAAAATCAACATTCAGAGCCAAACCAAACCTAGAATACTTCAAAAAAGAATCCTGTATTTTGCATCCTGAGCCAGTCTAATTTAAATTACGTTATAAACTCAGACGATAATGGAAAAAATACCGTAGCTGTACAGGTTTTGCACGGTTTGCTGATTCGAACCGAGCTGGCTCGTCACCATTTTCTTTGAATAACTCCGACTGAACGCTAGGATCAACGGCAAGTATCTGTGAAAACAGAAAATTGAGACATTGCTCCAAATTTTTTCCAAATGTTCAAAGAATGCCTCGAAAACCACTTTATATAAATAATAACGAATAATATCAGTGAAATGAACGTGAACAGTTTCATTCCCCTACATCGAATTTCCTATGGAATCGTGGTTGAATATTTTGATGCAGTAGCATACAACACTGTATCACTCGAGTATCAACAGAAACAAAACATGCTTTAATAATGAATGATACTTCAAAAAATTTAAACCAACCTTTGCCCATATGAAGGCTAGCCAAATCCGGAGTTCTCTTGACGTACTTTGAAGTAGCTTAAGCATATACGGAAAAATTCCAACTGAAAGCGAATAACCAACTGCCCATTGTCCAAGATCCAGAAACCGAGCAAGAAGCTCTAAAGCTCGTTGGCGGTGTGCCTAAACAGATATTTCCTTTAAATTCTCAGCAAAATACTCCCATAATTCCGGTAAGAACTAACTTGACTGAGAAGTACTTGGAGCACAATTGGGAGTTGCTCTGGTGAAGACTGTTTGTTTACACCATACTCCAACCACACCTGAAAATGAAGGAAGACGAAAATGAAAGCATTGTGGAGTGAAAAAATTGATCTATTCCTTTAACAATCATTGAAATTTACAAGAAGAATCACCTCAAAAGCCTTCAGCTGTTCAATGAAAAACCAGTTGTGTTGAACATCTTGACCATCACCGATTATGCCGGACAAGTCGATTAAAGCTGTAACGAACGCAAAAATAAAATCAGAACCCAGATTTTAAAAAGGCAATATCAAAAAATACTCACTGTTCAAAGTGCAAATAGAACTTTTAGACAACACGTCTCTACCGATTACTTGGAAATTCAGTTTAGGAGTAAGAATGTTATGAATATGATTAAGAGTCAGGTCAAGAGTATATTCCCATGAATCCCATAAAGGATGATCAGCGGTGCTTGGCAAAGAAGGGGAGGAGACCACATCTGTAATTTTGTTAGGATGTGGATATTAAGGTCACAAAATGCCACCAAAACAAACGCAAACCAACTCACTGCATCCATTTCCACTCATAACACGTTCTGCTAGAAGAAAACTTCGAAATAATGAAGCTAGCAAAAGATCCTAAAACAACTCGTGAAAAGACAACCCTTGCCCGATCACTAGTTAAAGCAACGAGTGAAACAAAAAACCAGGAAAAATAAATAATTCCACGAACTATTCTCGAAATGTCCACATTTAGAACTCATCCGCATTTAAAACAATCAAAGGCAGGCTCGGTTGGAGCTGCAATACAAACCTGTCTAAACAATCGCTGAAAGTCATCTCTTGGTAGCGCATTCCATGCAATAGTGTCCGTTATAGCTGTGAATATCCAATTGAGTTCTCCCAAAATAGTTCGCCGATCATTCAGTTGGCCTGGTATTTCCTCGAGCAGATTAGGAGGAAACTGGCTTTTCCTACCACTCTTTATCAGATACCTTAGAAAACCGATCAACAGTAAGAAAAAACTTCAAGCACAATCAAAAAAGAAAAATTGTAGGAATAAAAAGTACCAGAGAATACTCGTGTGTATAGGAGTGGTCAAGCAAGACGTAAATAGGTCAGCAGGAAGATCAGGATTTGTAGGCAGTCGTTCATCCTCACGACACGCCGCAAGTTGAATACAGTCCTGAGGATAAAAACAACTATAAAACAGGGCTGACATCAAGTGCCCGTGAACCCATTTCAGAATAATTACTGCACATACTCGAAATTTCGGTCGCCGCTTGAATTTTAAAGACTCAGCTTGTTGATCAGCGGTCATGCGAGAGCTGAGCTTTGCTCCTGATATTGAAGAAGAAGCAACAGCTTCTTGATGAGCTTCTAAGTTTTTGTACCAATCACTGTAAAAAGGCACGAATCATGATTCAAAGCAACGCCGTTGACGTAGGAAACTGAGAAACCCACTCTTCATGATCCTTTGCAAATCTCATAAACCAATTAACAATCGTCTCAGCAGACGAGCAGTCCCAAACATAAATAGATGGAAACTCCATACATAGTTGCAAATCATACAGTGACAATGGTATGTACTGCAACAAAAGAAAACGGTAAATTATAGCATTTAAGACAAAAACAGATAAACTATTTCCAAAAACGACCCTAAAAAATGGGAAAAAGATCTATGATACAAAAATAAGGACAGATAAAAGAAAGGAATATTACCTACCTGTGTGAAGTTCTTGTTGAAAACCCAGATTTCGCCATTTTGTGTTGGTCGAGGTACTCCATGTCCATTGTAATGAAATAAAACTCTCTCGTCTTTGGCGTTCCGCCTCATGCTCACGCATAGCTTCCGCACATCATCGCTCGTCGGGTCCGTCACGGATTTATACCTAACCATCTCATTACTCGAATATTTCCGATAAAGCCACAAGAATATAAATGATATGCATGACGCAGTTATTACCTTGCACGTGGTTGCCATTTCTCGTAGCTTTTCTGTAGGGATGTTGCTATCTTGTAAGCTGCTTTTTGTGGGTTGCAGCTGTACGGGTCCACCCAAGCTTCCAGGCGAGCACGTGCCGAAGCCTTCGGCACAGAGTCCGGTGGATCTACTCCTACAGCAGAAACAGTTCCAACTCGATTTTTTTAAAAACAGATTTCACCTAAAACGAACGGCGAAAATGGGAAAAATCACCCAAAATAAATTGAAACCGACCTATATGCAGACAAAGAACAAGGGCTACAGATACGGTTTTCATGCGCTCCTTGCTATATCGTCTCCTAAGAACATTAACCTTGTTGCTTACTCACATGTAAATAAATACTGTGATGGTAACCTATATACCATATATCCCGCTCTTCGCCATCTTCTTTTATTCCGAGAATATCTTCTACGTGACGTGCTTCTTGGAAATAACGCGTTATCAACCTATCCGTCTTCTATAAAATTTTTCTCAAGGGCTTCGAGTATTGTATGCCTACATGACCGTTTCTGGAAACAAACCTCTAGAATTTCCATCTCACTGTGAACCTTCGACTTCATCGTGGACATTTTCGTGTGATTTACTTATGATACCTTCATCCAAAACGGGATACTGGAAAAATAATTGCACTGAAAATCATAGAAAGGCCTGCATTTTCACCGAAGAACAGCAAAACCGGAAGAATCGCAGTTTCTTTAAAGATGAAAGTGTGCAGCACAGGTAAAAAGACTAGTTCATCTCAGCAAAACCAGCGTATCACTGGGCCCGGGCCTCAAATTACTTTCAAAAAAAAAATTCCAAAAATCGCCTGCGTCAGAAAATAGCCTCTGCTGTTGTATTGTGAAATATTGAAAGATTTTGTGCAAGAATCCTCTATGAACACCAACTTAAGTACATTGGCAGATATTAGGAAATAATTATGATTTTGAAAGCGATACTGTTTCATAAGCATCAAGTACTTGACTGCGCTTAAACTGAACAAACATTCACAATGGTGGACCCCACTAAACATCCAACATCAACCGACCACGTGACCGAGGGTTTCAAATTTCTATAAGTAGTTGAGTGGAGACTTCGAAAAGCTATGCAGTTTAGAACGCTGAATGATTAAAAATGATTACAAAGTTGGAAGCTGATATCGCTTCCCAGACTTAATGAACACAACCCCACCTAAGTCTCAAAAGCGGCAGCATATGGGGCTTTTTTTTTTCATTAGCACAAAATTTCTGCAATTCGTTCAAAGCCCGTTAAAGCTTTCAGATTCTGATTAACCCATTCGAATTTGGCTGTGAACAAAATTTGTTCATCCCTAAGCAGCACTCTAACTCATGTAAAATGCAACCGCTCACAAGTTGCTTGATAGTTCCAGACAGTCAATTTAGCTTCCTCATTTGTTAGCAGCAACGGAGACTGCGGATCTTCCATTAAAATTTCTGGGGAAATGAAATTTTGCTCTTGTGAATACAACATAAAACCAGTTGATCCCATAATCACCAAGCAACTATAGCCTANCCTAGGCTACATAAAAACCCTTTCCTTATAGATTTGGAGTCATTCCGTTTACCTGTACGCAACCACCTTGGGCAATAAATACGAAACTGTACGCCATGGAAATCTCTCATCTAATAGCGAGAGGTATACGCAACCATTCCATCCCTATCCAATAGCGAGTGGTATAAGCAACCAACTCATCCATACTCAAAAGTCCAACGATAGCAATTAGCAACATCGTTGCCGATCCCAGAAACAGGTAGTCTTACTAGTAATATGTGGGAGTGAAGGGCATATTTGACAGGAGACTTCAGTCCAAGCTTACAGCTACAGCGGTGGCTACTGTCAGAATGATCACACTCATCTGTAATGCTATCTCCGATTTAAATCGATTTGGTAAGTAAACAAAGAACCGTACGACGACGCATGCCAAAGTTCGACATGGCCTGACCACTGCAGTCTCCCGTAAACACCGCTGCACCACTCTGTTTCGCGGCAATCTTTTTAGTTGTGCCATTCTTCATCAAATGAAAATCACTTTCAAAAATTGATACTTGAAAAATAGCGCTAGCCATGCACATTCTCCGATGCAAATTTTCGGATTGTTTGGATTACACAGACATACCAAATAACAATTTATCAACAACAAAACAACAATTCACTCGGCGGGTATCTCGATTTCACCGCTCGCGATCTGCTCTATAATATCGTGCGGGTGCTGGCCATCAATTGTGCAACCGACAGATTGAGCAGTCCCTGAATAAGGTGTAGTTTACTACAGTAGCATTCTATGAAAAAGACTTAGAAATACCTAAGATCTCCTTGACGGTTCCTTCTAGCTTTCGAGCCATGGAACGAGGCCTCATGATCCGGGCAATCTTGATGATGGAGTCCAGCGTCAAGTCACCATTGTGCTTCACTAAAATTAAAGACGATTGACAAAACTGTAAGAAAAATATTTTCCCAATACCACCTTCACATTGGAAAAATGGAACTCACTAAAATAACACCCGTTGCTTGCGTTACCAGTCTTATGCAAAAACAAGAGACTGGGGGATAAGAGCATATGGACTCTCGACCCTTCGCCACCAAAGGTGCATACCGTTCTTGACCTTCTTGCGGTCGCGAGGAGGTTCCTTGAGTTCCTTCACGAGTAGAGACGCTGCTGATGGGACGACGTCGATTTTGGCAACACGATTCTGGATAGTGAGCTTGCAAGTGACTTTTAAGCCTTTCCAGTCCTGTGTGGCCTTGGCAATGTCGTCACCAACTTTCTTCGGTGACAAACCAAGTGGTCCGACTTTAGGGGCAAGTGCAGAGGTGGCACCCACTTCTCCCCCAACACATCGAAGATAAACTGAAAGAACAATCGTCTATAACTGGCTTGTTATTCACAATACATTCAACTCGAGCAGAACAATAAAACCGGAATTTCATGTCACCCACCAATCTTAATTTCAGAGGGATCGAACTTTGGCGGCATACCGATATCAGTTGTCTACCAAGAGGATGGTACGACTTGAAGTGGATCCAAATGTACTGGAAATCACAAGTGACGAAATCGCGCCGAAAGTTCGCTGCCTATCGACACGTTGAAGAGTCAACGCGCATGCGAAAGAGAGCGCGCTTTTTGAATGTGGAATAACATTCCCCGCTCTAATCGTTTATTTCAAATTTTGAATTTCCTCTATATGAAAAACTCGTGAGATTTCATAGTGTTGGTTTTGATGCGGATTGAAGATTATACAGATATATCATGAATCGGGAGCTCTGTGATCTGAAAGAGTCCATATTACTGGTGGCTCTGTCAGAGATTATTTCTGCTTATTTTTGCAAAGAAAATGGATTTGAGACTTAGTGGTCCATGAATTCAACTAAAAACTAATTGGAAAATAGAGGGACTGCGAAAAATCGCTGCTAAAGATAGCATCTCGAAGGGTAAGCATGATTTTTGGTAAAATCCGTCTCCTACCACGTGTCCGAATGACCATCTAGAACGGTTATTTACCCCCTCCTGAATGGCGTTGTTGCATTTCAGAAACCTTGACTAAAAGTGGCTTTCCTTGCTTACGGATTTAACGTAAGCCTTGTGTTCGTGATTTTACCTTTCCTGCCAGTTTTTCGTGTCTCTTAGAGCCGGATGATCTGGATAGTGACGGCTGCTCTAGAGTAATACCGTAAATTTTGGATAATTCGATTTCCTCTTAAAAAGATTGCAATTTTAGATTGATGAGCGAGCCTACCGGTGATTGCGTCCCTGGAGTGGAGAGGGGTAATGGCGATCTGGTGAGTTTTTCCTCAACAGTAATACAATATTCTGCCTCATGCCACATCTCTCTTTCTCTCAGTGGTGCCATAGACCGTTTGAGCACCGTTTCTACCAGAATTTGCCTTAATCCCAATCCCATTGGTGTTCCACCAGCTCCCTTGATCTTCGGTGCCATTTCAATTCTTTGATTTGATTATCCGTTCTGTTGCATCCTAATTCCTTTTCAAAACTGTCTCAGTTTATACTCAAGCGCTCAGCAAATACGACAGTTCTGCTGACTTTACTATAAGAGGGAGGATTGTCTTGTACCGTAGCCTCCAGTATTTTTGGGATGATGTAACCTTTTTATGTCTTCATGCTGCATCGTTATTGCCGTACGCTTACAGTGGTTTCTTAACGTTTTCAAACTAGGCCATGACTTGAAATAATGAATAGGACGGGGACATGATGGAATTTTGAAAAATGTTCAACACGTGGCCTAGATTTCGGGTTTTCGTAAGCATTTGCAAGAAATCGGAGTTATTTCCGAGGGTCTCAACTGTTATGATGTTTCGATGTAGTCATGTCTCACCTTAAGACCCCGTTAACACGAAATGCTCTAACTCAGTCCTGATAACATAATTATATTGTAACAATTCAGCACTGCAGCTCTTACGTCTAGGGTGTTGGTTGGGAAGGTCTCCACTCGACAAGGAGGATTTATAAAGAAATACTCAAATGTTTTCGATAGTGAGGTTTTTGGGTGGGAAGAAACACGCATTTTTGCTTTCTAGAAAAACTAGATTACAGTTTCAAGGAGCCTTTCCTTCCTTGAATAACTTCTCGGGAGCTCGAGATGGTCTTCAATTTCTATTGATTAATTGCTGTGACGTAACAAGAGATCTTCGGACAAAGGTGGCGAAATGGTGTTTGGTTCAGTGATCGAATCCCGGAATTATATCTGCCCAAGCAGGTAAAGCTTCTAATCCCTCCGGGGTTAGCTATTTGAGACAAACTCGTCTGGGAATTGAAAATTGTGACTTATTCATCGGCCGGCCATGGAAAATAATCACTTAGGACACATCTACATTCAAACCTTAACTACGATTTGAAGGGTAGTCGTGTGCGGGGCGCAAACTGTCAACAGGGTGATTTTGTTCTTTGAATTACACCACATTAAGCCTTTCAGGCTCTCATTGTGATAATCATATTTCTCTGATAAATTTTTATTCGAGTTCTCGCACAGTGTACGTTTATTCACTACAAGTACTTTTTAGATTTATGAGAGAGTGCTAGTCGATGATGGAGACGCAATATTCCTTGACGGAGAAGAATATGGAGATATGTATCGTGAGGAGGAATACATTCAGCTGGAAGACGGTAGATTCATTCAGGCGGATCCGCACTCAGTCGTAACTCAGGTGAAAGAAATAGCAGTTAAGATTGAATAAGTGATAGCCATCGTTGTGGCTTCATTCTACTCGGTTAATCTGAAGAGTTCCTGTTTTCAGCCTTCTGTATCAACTCAACCACAGGTATTGCAACAAGTACGAGTTGCACCTATTGCTCAACGAGTTGTAGTTGATTCCACACCTCGCATTCAAAGTCATCACGTCATAAACCAGCAGCCCTATAATCCACGTACCTCGCAAGTGAGCTGCTTCTGAAAGATCTTCCAGATTTTGTATTTGTTCCGGAAAGTGTCTTTTTTCGGGTTTTCTTCTAAAAATAACCGTACAAGGTTCCTCTGGCACAAATTCTGCTAAACTACTTTTCTTTACAGATTCCACGATACAAAAATGATCTCACATTATCGTCGGCTTTCGCTGATCAGTTCAGCATTGGTGTGAGTAGCTCGGGCTCGAAAATCATTTTCCAGATTTCTTAAAGCTTTCAATTTTCTCTTATCCCATTGTTCTCTTCTATGTACATATGGCTCTGTTTAGACTCCGCGTCAGCAGTCCTACGAATTACTTGAAAAGTCAAGTCTTCTCAATTACTCTCACTTGAACACCAGTCTGTCGAAATCGTATGCGTCTTCTCCTTCCGCATCGTCATTGTTCCAGTTGCCTTCAACTCAAACAACTTCTAAACCTAAAAAGTACCTTGTCTTAATGCTTTTCGCTGCACTCATTCTTTTGAGTTTTTACGTCGTCTAGGAAGCCTCTACCCGGTCAACGAAAGCCTTGCAACTGCACGAAGTCCATGTGCTTGAAGCTGTACTGTGACTGTTTCGCCAATGGAGAGTTTTGCCTTGATTGCAACTGCAAAGACTGTCACAACAACTTGGAGCACGACGCTGACCGCTCAAAAGCTATAAAGCAATCCTTAGAGAGGAATCCGAACGCCTTCAAACCGAAAATCGGTATGATTGGCCAAGCTTTTTCATAAGCGCAATTTCACTAGCTGTTGTAATATTCTGCTAAGCCTTTCCACATGAAATATTCTATTCCAGGAGTGAAGAGTGGCAAGGTGGATGCGGAGAGATTACATCAAAAAGGATGTCACTGCAAAAAAAGTGGTTGCCTTAAGAACTATTGCGAATGCTTCGAAGTAAGTTGCATTGAAACCTGTGAAAGCGTCAATAGATCATGCCAAAAGGATTTCGTCAGTTTAATTGAAATCCACATTGAGAAGGAATGTTTCTATGGTGATAAGAAAACATTTAGGCAAAAGTACCGTGCACTAGCCGCTGTAAATGTCAGGGGTGTCAAAACACGGAGGGAGACCGGGCTAACCGGAACGACAGGTAATGATTGAAAACCTGTGTTATATGGAAAAATTAGTTTAGACTGTCTTAGCTCGAAATTTAACATGATAATGCTCGAGGAATGCGAGCGGTAATTAGACTCATTTAATCTAGTGTAGTAAGAAGACAGATGATCTCGAAATTACCGTCAATCGCAGCGAATTTGCCTCTTGCATTTCTGAGTATCGGTTGTACTTGGTAGTAGAGAAATTGTTAGATGTCCGGGCTTGTTGTCTGCGCTGGCTTGGAGTGGATAGTGCCAATTCAGGTGATTAGTTTCCTGCAAAGTGACCGGAACTTCATTCGCAGAGGGAGAACATATAATAGAGATATCTGGTATCTAATAAACAAGCGTAAAGACGACAGTAGGTAAAAGCAAGACGACTGGAGGGAGCAATGATAGGCATGGATGAACTACCAACATCGGGATCTTTCATATTTGCTAATTGTAAGATTGAGTGTTTTCAAAGAAATGCGGTGTTTTTACGCTGTCGTTCTCGCTTATTCCGAGTACATTTGCTCGATCAAGGGTTGCTGCAACGAGTTCTGCCTTGATGAATTTGGCAAATGCTGCGTCTTCATTAACCACTGGATCTCCATCATCACCACTTTCTGATAACGAGTCCGAAGCAGGATCTTCCACTGCACGCCCAGATCCACGAACGTACGTTTATAGTTATCTTACATTGTAGTGGATGGTTTTCATTCTTATAGAGGGAGTCAGACCATTGTGAATGTTTAAGGTATCCATGGTTTTATATGACGGATGAGGTAATCGAGGCAGCTACGTTATGTCTTGTGGCCCAAGCAGAAGAATCGGCAAGTTTTCAATGTTGATTCCGGTGTTATTGCAATTTATTTTACTTTTTTCAGTTATCAGGATGTACCGGTGAAGCATCTGAAACGGTGGTCGAAGAAATGGAAAGAATGGTCCTAGGAGAGTTTGGTAGATGCCTGCAAGAAATTATATCTAATGCTTCTGAATCTTAATATTTGGTCAACGTTTTGCTCTACGACTGTGGATAAATTTATATGATCTCTGCTATTTCGTTTTGTGTGAAGTCTGGCTTCAGAACCACTCAATTCCCTCCGAATTGTTCTGGTCTCAATTTGAAAGTTGCATAATTGAGTTTTGAGCGCGGTGATCCTGTAGGGCTTTGTGACCCCGTCAAGTAACCTTCCGATCGGCTCATACTTCTCTCAAAATAAATATTACCCAGCCGCAGGTATATGATGGGGTAGACCTTTTTGCTGCAATATTTTTTTGTTGGGCGCTGAGATAAAGGTGCTGAGGATCAGAAGTTGAGTTTTCTACTGTAGGAACCCCACTCATAACCAGTACTGGGTATTGGGGTCACGAAGCTGTCCTTATGATTAGTGTTGTGAATGAGACTACTTGATTCAGATGCAGCTATCAGTTAGTGACAAAGAGTTCATGGAGATGGCATTTCGATTAGCAGAAGAGGCTCTTGAAAATAATGAAGTTCCTGTAGGATGCATTTTCGTATGCCATGGTAAAGAAGTGAGTGTTCTTCTGAAGCTATGTATCGAAATTCTAATCTCTGAAATACTCGGAAGCGGAAAAGGACGCTTTCTTAGAGCGTGGTATCACAATGAACGGAGTAACCTCGCGGTAAACTTAGGCGTTAAGTCTTTTGACATTGATAAATCCCAGTTCGGAATGGGATTCATCAATATCACTATGCGACTTCCGTTTAGAGTCGTAGTGACGTTCAAAATGCAAATGGGGTCTGGTGTGTTCTACCCGAACGTGTGCCGCGCTTGCTCGATTGCGAGCTGCGGGAGGCAGATTTGATACGGTAATTGCCGCGGAGCCACTTCCGTTTATCGTGGGGATTTGGGTACAAATGCTGTTACCCTTTACGAACCAACGTTTCGATCCTGTTACCACGTACGTGGTAATGCCGCACTCGGCGATATCAAGCCCAACTTCTAGGATCTAGAGTGATTTTGCCGGTAAGTATACCGGGATTCATACATTATTCGTGAACGGGTGTACAGGCACCTCTGTTTTTTGTATGCCGTACAGGTTCTAAGAAAAATGGCTGAAGTAACTATATATCTGAGCTCTTATGCAGCTACCACAACATCTGGGAAGGAAAGGGTAGAACTGAAAAAAAGTAATTGCCCTTAATGGCTGTAGGTACACTTTAATGGCTCAATCGCCAGTCGATTATTCATGCTTTGCACAGGTGGGACGAGGCCGGAACGAGGTGAACCGCACAAAAGATCCGACGGCTCATGCGGAAATGGTTGCTCTACGAAGAATGGAATCGAACATTCCCAATATTAAGGAGGTAAATGGTTCAACACTGTCATCTATTGCGCCCTGAGGCTGTTCATTCAATGATTCTTGTTCAAGATAATCGCTAGGGCATCACATTTTTTCGTTTGGTTTGAATACATTGCTTATTGGGCCATAAGTGTAGTAGCTTCTCCGTAAATGTATAGCATAATTCCTAATAAGGGTTTTTGTCTGAGCGGAAAGTACATTTCGTATTCAGATTCTTCATGATTTAGTTCTCTACGTGACACTTGAACCATGCATAATGTGCGCCAGCGGACTTTATGAGTTAGGTAGGCACTTTATGGTTCATCTTTCTCTTTAACTTGCCGATACTCTCTTGTTGTTACACGAGAATTTTACATCGGAATCGATAGAAGAAAATGAAAAGTTCATCATTTGGACTATCTGTCTTTATGGATTGCAGATATGTGGAAATGAGGTTCAACTTTCCTTTACAGGTATATCAAAAATTATATATGCAGCCGCCAATGAAAGATTCGGTGGAATCAAAAGTGTAGGCAACAGCAGCAAATACAATGTGAAAGGGACAGAAATTGAGGTGAAAGATAAGTTTTTGCAGGGAAAATTCACTGAGTGGCGTTTGCATTTCAGATAATAGATTCGGTTGATCCCGATCGATCAGTCAATCTTCTGAAGTCTTTCTATGACAGGGAAAACCCATTTGCTCCTATAGAAAAACGGAAAGTAAAGAGGAAATCATGTGCTGATGTGTAAATATTCGCTTTATGAATAAACTAATTTTTATACTGGTGTTACTGGTTGTGTTTGCCAGGCGGTTGCGTACTCTATCTGTGCCACTACATTTGAAGGATATCATCACGTCTATGTTTTCATTCAAATGACTTTTTAGATGTCCTTCTCTAGATTTTTACGTTTTACTCTCCCTTCAACTTCATATGTTATTCGTAACCCACAACTACTGGCATCTCCTACGGTACGGCTCCGTGTTACGCGAACAGCCTTCCAGGTAGTTTTCCTTCTGCATGCTATCTAATGTGGCAAAGCCAGAAGTTCAGCTATGTTATAATACTTTCAAATAGGGCAGAGATCCCGGGCGGCAACGAGACATTATGTACTATGCTGTGAGTCTGGGAGTTGTGGCTATTGGTGTTACGTTCGCCGCTATTCCAGCTTACAGAATTTTTTGTGAGAAAACATCATTCGGTGGTCTGACTCAGGTAATCAAATGCCTTCATTGGCTTTCTCTGTTCTCGCAATCGTTTTCGGGAAGTCTCTGATGCTCACTTCTAGTGTGCACTACAGATTCTGTTCTAAGCCTAGAAGCGGGTACCAACCCTACTTTCGAGCCTAGAATTGAGTGAAGATTTCAGATAGCCAAAGACTTTGAAAGGATTGCCAATATGAAGAGAGTCGAGGACAGACTCATTCGTGTACAGTTTAATTCTGATACGCCTTCCAGTATGCAGTGGGAGTTTAAGCCGCAGCAACACGAGGTTTGCACTGCAATATCTTCGTCGCCCTTCATTTTTCTCAAAAGTGGTGCTGAATTTAAGCGAAATTCACATCTGGTCTAACACAAAGAAGCTGGTTCATGTTTTATCTCTATATGCTTTCAGATGTACGTCCATCCAGGAGAGACAGCTCTTGCATTTTATACGGCGAAAAATCCTACAGATCGTCCTATTGTTGGCATCTCAAGCTATAATCTAACTCCCTTCCAAGCTGCATATTATTTCAATAAGATTCAATGCTTTTGTTTTGAAGAACAAATTTTGAATCCAGGTGAACAAGTAAGTTAGATAGTACCTCTGATATAAATTGTCCCTTGCTCTTGGCTGAATCAGAAACTCCTTCAGGTGGATTTGCCCGTATTCTTCTATATAGATCCGGATTATGCCAACGATCCAGCTCTAGAGTACCTCGATAATATCCTTCTGAGCTACACATTTTTCGAAGCAAAGTCCGGTCTGCAGCTGCCCAGTCCATTCGATCCCAACAACAGGCCTAATGTGAGCTTGGTGTTTTTCTATTTCCTTGTTAGTTTTTTGGAACCAGTCAGAATATGTATATTGAATACTTTAGGCTAAACTGGAAGCGAATCCAAAGACATCTACAAGTTAGCATTTGTGGCTATAGAGTGTCCATAGATTTATATTGTTGTCATATAACTGTTATTGAAAAGGGTTGCTAGTCAGGATCTTACTGTTTGCAAGGGTAGTATCTATATGATGAAAGCCGATCCTCATGATTCGTCTCATGATTCGTTTGCAGCAGGTTTTGTTATGTTTGCAATAAATTTTTAGTTATTAATAATATCGTCGTTCTATGGTGGGTACGTTCAATGTGTACATGCACCCTTCTGTACATTGTCTTTGTAAATGAAATCATCACTAGTTTTGCTCAACCTAGTGCTGTGATCTTGCCAAAGCAAAGTAATCACTCTAACGGGATTCAGGTTGTTGAAAATGAGTTCGAAGACAACCTCGAAAAACGCGCGCAAGAGGACAGGGAGAACTTCGGTGAGAGCTGTATGCCCTTATTTCATAATTTTGCTTAGTTTTTTTTTTTTTTTGAAGCAGATACTGCTGTTTTTTGTAGCTCTCATTGGGAAAGTGTTTTCAGAACAACGGGCACTTCATTTTGTAGATTTTGTTTGTCGAAAAAATTACCATGTGCTTGGATGAGCTGGCTGGTCCACTACTCGATTTCGTCAAGAAAAAATTTCACTGAGGCTTCTTATGGGGATTTTGGGGTTAACTCATGGTCTGAGCGGATGTGTGTGAAGTATAGAAGTGCATGAGAAAGCCCTAGAAACGCTTAGGCCTGAAAAAAGAACCCGATTTACATCTTGTCCGCTCTTAATTAATGAGATGTGGGTGCTCAGGGCAAATGTGATTTTAGATGAGTATTTAAGGAATGGCTCCACAGCTTCTTGTTCCCATATTTCACACTATTCAGACGAGAGCCCCTATATTCTACTTATTCTTCATTTATTGGCGTGACTTCGGTGCTTCAAGGCCCAATTAAGCTGTTTCTAAAATCTTTTTCATTTTGAGCTCAGCAGTATCATCCCTTTTGAAGAGTCTGACTGGAATTCATCTCATTTTGTACTACTCAAACTCAAAGACCTATGGAAACCATCTTTAAATGCGGGCTATCCCAAAGAATTATTGCATTGTTTTTCAGCATGAGCAATCGGGAGCTTCTCAATCCAAAAAAACTCCACTTGGTTTGCAAAACAAGCGAGCGAAAGGTTCCCCAAACCATATCGACTCTGCGAAAGGGTAAGTTTTTCAACTGTTGCGAAGGCAAAAATATTTATTTTTAATTGACTTGGACTCATAAAACCTTGAAATCCCCCAACTGTAGTACTTGGTAGGAAGTCGATTCATTAAGATATCTGATTTGTTTCGACTGATGGTATAAGTACATCTGATAGGTGCAATACATCTGGCTGGTTTGATCAGCTGTGAAACTGTAGATTTACGTTTTCGTGGAGTGATTATGAAACGTTGGCGGGGAGTGAGTAGGAAGGCGAGTCCTGTGTGCAGCTCGCAGCTCTTTTACACCTTTGCATATCTTCTCTTCATCCTTGCCATATTCGTTGGGCTTTTGCCTCTATATCTGAGGCTGCTCATACCTTATTTCCCGCACAAGATTTCAAAGAAGCCTGGAAAAGGGTATCTGTTGCTCATGGAACGAATGCTAGGGTTTTCGCTACTATAGCTTGCCGACTAACAGTTCCCTTTATGTCGCATAAGGGCTCCTGATGAAAGCTCCGATTGGAAAGTTGCGATGTGGACGTTAATTGAATAATGCTTATGAATCGTTACTTCTTACTGATAAAATATGTTAACGACACCTCTCAACAATTAAAATGCTCCGAATTCTGCCCGAAAGAGCTTAGCTCTAGATGCCTTCTGAAAAGGGGCATTCTTGTTATGACGGAAACTAGGCAATGGTCGAAACTCAGCCTCAATAATTCAGCTGGGCTCCAGGCCAAATTTGTGCGTAGATTTCAGTCATGGTATTCTTCAATGTGAATTCAAGTGTGCACTGTTCACCTATTTGAATGGCCCATAGAAAAAAAGCTTGACTAACGCAAGATTTCGCTAGTTTGACGCGATGACGATGTCGTAAATGCACGTCTAATTATTTATTTTGGGAATGCTTCTCGATTAAATACTCGAAATCCCAAATGTCATTCTTCGACTTGTCTTTGAATCTTGCATTTTTGAGCTTCCACTACTTAATTTGATAATTGCAGACCTACTGGAGATAGCAATGTCAGCATCCCTGATTCTGTGAAGATACCCAAATTCATAACAGAATTCTACCAATTTGCCGCTTCTCTTCGGCCAGAAGAGCCACGTTGTGAGTAGCTTTACTATAGGCGTTAATTAGCGAATCATTCAACTAGGAAGTTGCGAATTGAAGGTTGAATAATGATTGTAATGGGCTTTCTACATGAATTTTTTTTCAAAAAAAAAAATGATGGGGACTTCATTGACTCTGTACTCCATACTTGAATTTTGAAGTCGAGTCGGTGGTTGTATAGGAGAGAGATCAAATGATAAC